CCTTTGCTCCCCCTTTAACATCCCCCTAGTTTTATCACTTTTATTTATTGTCTAAGACTCTAAAGTGTCTACAAATCACCAAAATAGCATCTTGTATTTGTAAAATTATACAGAAAAAATAAATAAAATGAAGAGAGACCTGTACAATAAAATATTTCACATTTTCAAGGTGATATTTTCCAGGAGATTAATGCTTATGTGCGGAAGTTGGATAATAAAAATTGACAGGTGACTAGATTGTATGATGTTGACATCCAATCATACAAATGCTGAGGTAAAAACTACATTAACTATGAACATGCCAAAAGACATCAGATTGACAAGCACATTGAATGTATTACAACTAGTGATAAATCACATTCATCTTTGAAGTGTGTCTGGCCCATCAGTGTATTAAGAATCTTTCATAAAAGTGACATTGCTGCTGTTGGATGCAAATGACATGTATGGTACAGTTGATGGTGATAGGATTTTATGCAATGCAAAATTAGGAAAGATGCTTGATGTTGTGGATGGACATACAAAGTTTAAACTTTGGCTGTGGCTTTTTATTCCCCATACCAGAGTGTTGCTCCAAGAAAGATATGGCTTTGAGTATAATTGGAATTGCCCTACTAATATGATAGGAGGTACAGGATATAATGTTCCAAATGACAATCTTAGATATTTGTGAACAAAATAAAACAAAAAACAAAAAAATCTGGGAGCAAATGTAAACTTCAAAAATGTACAAAAAGATGCAATGACGATACAACCTTACAATGATGTAGTAACTAATCTTTTTATCTGAATGCAAGGCTCAGTACAAGGGAAGCAGAAAAACACATACAGACACACATACAACTTTGCAGACACTGAAAAAGAAGTAAGCAAAATGGTTGAACTTCAAAACAAGTGTCGTTTTGATAGCACAAAGGAGATGATCATTACTGGTGACTTTGTTAACCCGTTGGGAAGAAATGGTTTTAACAACCCTGAAATAATGTATAAACTACAAATCTTTCAGTATAAACTTTGGCTGTGGCTCCTTACACCAGTGTTGCTCCCAGAAAGAGAAGGCTACAAGTATATAAGAGGTACTGGATATAATATTCCAAATGATCTACACCATTGGATCAGGAGTAAAAAGAAAATGGCCTGGGAAGAAATGCTTTGGATTAATGGTTTGATTGATGATAGAGTTTACTGTAAATTGTTTTAATTTGGTGCAGTTTAATTTGGTGGATTAGGCAAATTTTGAAATTTTGGCTGCAATTTGATTTGGTGGATTGACCCATCAGTAAAATGCAGATATTGGAGGGCTAGCTAGCACAAAGATGCAATTAATCACTCTGTGCAAGTGATCTAATCCTTGACACTGGATTTGTTTAGATTACAAGACCTACCTTAATGTAGCACCATACATTTGGAGTCTATATAAGACCCACCTTAATCTTCATCATACAACCATATATGTGTCGTCTACAAGACCCATACATGTGTAGTTTATTTATGTTATATTATATATGTATTCCATACCTGATGAGGTTTCAGAGACATATCAACCGGGAATTTATTCCATATCCTGGCAAATATTTTTCATATGTCACGCTCCAACGAGGATCTGGGACATATAAATCGTATGTCCTACATAAGCCGTTGTATTCCATTCCTGATGAGGTTTCAGGGACATATCAACCGGGAATATATTCCATATCCGGGCAAATATTTTTCGTATGTCCCGCTCCAACGGAGCTCCGGGACATATAAATCGTATGTCCCGCTCAAAAAAAAATTTGAAAATAAAATTTGAAAAAAAATTGTGGAAAAAAATTATGTAAAAAAAATCTGAAAAAGAAATTTTATGCAAAAAAATGTGGAAAATTTTTTTTTTTGAAAATGATAACATATTTTGCAAGTAAACACACCAGAGCATATGGGATACATGCTTATTATTTCAAACCTCATCAGGCATGGAATACAACAGTTATGCACGGTCGGTTTGGATACAGGAAATATCCCTTGGGATATACAATACATCTTCCCTTGGTCCCTTCGGTCCCTCGGGAAGATATATTGTATATCCCTCGGGATATTCCCTGTATCCAAAACCTCCCAGTACATAACCCCTATGTACGGGATATACGATGGCTATATGTCCCGGCCCGGGAATTCACGTCATAACTATATCCACACTGAACTAGACAAAAGACAAAAATGGCAGACAATCGAACAGAACAAACTGTAAGATTTGAAATGAATGATTTCTTAGAAATCACTGCAAATGAGCATACAACAAAGAAAACGTGTTTAGATAACGGAGAACTCAATGATTATTTGGCTATCAAGGATGAACTTATAGGATAATGGCAAATATGACTTCGTTCTAAAGAAAATCTAGAACCGGAAGACTTGAATAAACAAATATATACATGCCTATTATTTCAAACCTCATCAGGTATAGAATACAACAGTTATGCACGATCGGTTTGGATACAGGGAATATCCCTTTTATATACAAGATATATTGTATATCCCTCGGGATATTCCCTTTATCCAAAACCTCCCGGTGCATAATGCCTATATATTGTATATCTTTTATTGACTCTCTGATGATACCTTAATGTAGTATACGAGGGTTGATCATAAAGTTCTCATAATATCTTTCTAATTTCTTTATTTTTAAATATATTCTAATGAAATTTTCACAGAATGTGCAGCATAGAATGTCTTATTAATTCAGCAAAAATAAAAAAAACTAGCTAGAATAGCCCCCATGAACCATGTTTAAATACATAATACATTGTCAAATAAGCTATCAAACACATTAAATTGCCAAATAATATGTGCTCCTGACTGTTGTGAACTATTATAATGGTCATGTGAATTGTGTGATCTCATAATAGATGATTGTTATGCTTCATTAGTAGTGACTGCTAGACCCCATGTCTGTTTTGTCAAATATACTGACGAAAATTGGTTTTGTCCCTTTAGATCGTTTTTAACCTTTAGCGTGCTGCCGGCGGACTCGTCCGCCGAGACTAAAATGTCTCTCACAACTGCCGGCGGACCCGTACGCCCGATTTCAAACTTTTAAAAACTTTACTTTTTCGCGCCATTCGTATTGTCCAATTAGATTGCCTGATTTATTCAGTGCCTAACATGACTTCCTGTTGACCTAGAAATGCGATATTTCGAAAAATAATTCTCAATTCAACAATTTAAACAGTGTTTAAGTCGTTTTTAGTGAACAAATCGTACAAAATGGTGGACAAATACGATCACAACGAAAATGTGGAGGAAATGGATTACGATTTCGAGCTCTTTAGGCTCTTGGAAGCCGATAACGGTCATCGAAAATAGAAGCTAGAATATTTTCTGAATTGAAAAATTGAACATTTGATCGCTGCAAATTCAGATTTGGATTCTGACCAGACGAAGAGGCGGAGCGGCGGATTCCGGAGGAGTATTCATGGTATATTTATGCCCAGTCGTGTTAATGTACGAAAAAATTCATGAGAACATTTTTTTCATGAGCCAGGCCACTGTGTCTTCCCTTTGTGAAAATTTTATCCAGATTCATTCAGTAGTTATTGAGATATTAATTATTTAGTCCAGGCATATCATTTTTTGCACTCTTTGAAAAATAAGCCAGTTGCGTGGGATATATTTGCTGAAATAAGGCAGCATGGTAAAGGTTAACATGTACAGACCACACACAGGGTGTATTTTGCTGATATCTGAGCAATATATTTGTTTTAGATCATGTTTAGTCTGACCAAAGGATCTTACAAACTTAACATTACATTTTATCAGTATGAATTTTATTTTTCTGAATATCTCTGTATCTATTGCATTCTCTTACTCAGTCATTTCTGATCATTAGCTTTGAGTCTCAGACTCTGGTATCACATCTAATGAAGCATGAAAGCATCCCCTATGACATAACACAATTTACACGATCATTTTATCTAATTGTTAAAGCACTTAACAACATATTCAAGTTAACATTTCAACGTGTTTGGTAATTCATGAGAGTTTATTATGTATGTAAACATGGTTAATTAAGCTCATTCTCTCAATTACTTTTATTTACCTCGGGTGCCTTGATTTCCGGTTACTATGGCAACCATTTCTTATTTAATGTTTCTGTTATTCTAAATATTTTTTGCTGGATTAATAAAACATTCTATGCTGCACATTCTTTGAAAATTTCATAGGAAAATATTGAAAAATAAAAAAGATAGAGAGATATTATGAGAACTTTATGATCAACCCTCGTATGTATGTGAAAATTATGAACCTCAAAAAGTGGTATTAAAAATATGTAAAGTATATGCAAGGTTCACCTTATTGTGGCACCAAACATATTCAAAATTGTATTGTAAAAAGATTGTAAGAAGATCCATAAACAATGAATACATGAAAATAAATAAATAAGCACAAAAACATGTTGTGGTTTTTCAATATCTGAAGGAAATAAAGAAATAACAAGACATTTACATGCAAAATATCACTACCTGCCATTTGTTACAGACTCCAAACATTAAAAGCCAAACACAAAAAAAATTGGAGACAATATGTCACCATTTGTGGTAATAAAATAAAAATCTATAAATGACTTGATATGTTCACCTTAACATAACATAGATGTATCAGAATATACCTGATAACATTCAACCTGAGGATGTTGAGATAACATACTATTGCTGTCTTCAAGTCAATTGTGTGCTATGCTATGGCATTAATTTTGGTTAAGAAATAGGAATCAATGGTTATGAATTTAAAATTCATTCTTTAAAATGTGCAATGACTTCAGTATGAATTGTTATGGTCTTGGATTGTGATTATTTCATTATTTTTAACCCAAGAGACAGGGACCACAGCCCTGAATTTTAACATGGAAATTTGAATAGAAACCAGCAATTGCTCATCTTGATTTGCAAGGCTTCGGTTGCCCCAATAATCACCTTGGAAATCAAAAATGGCAAATACCTGCATAGAGTAAAACTGAAACTTACCTGTGTAGAACCCCGCATGTGATCGCTGAAAATAAAGAACAGATACATTGACGATTAAAAAGAATGTATCGTTAATTTATGATCATTTTACTATGGACCAAACTTCTGTTAAACTATTTGATATTTTGTACAATTAACATTACTGGAGTGATTGAAAAAGGGTGAGAAATTGTCTCTTAAAGGGTCATGATAATCTTCATATATAAAAACAATATGGCAGCTCAAGAAGTGTGTACTGGATCAGTCTGTTTTGAAGAAATTAGGGGATTTTGTAAATTCCAGTTTATTGAAATCGTCTTGAAGAAAGTTTACAACTAGACAGCAGCAAAGCCAAAGCATAGCAAATCCCATCGAACAGCCATGGCTGGCATTTTTACAAACAAAGTACATGTAAATAGCAAAAATGGCAGCTATTTTGAAAAATGGCCACCTTCTACCATAAGTGTCATAAGACAGTGTGCCATGCTTATAGTATTCACATACCAAATATGAACAAAATCGCTCCGCTACTTTTCCATGCGGTTCTAACTTTGACCGTTAATTTGAATTTTTGACCTACCGGATGTTTGAAAATCAAGGATTGCGACTCTCATACTGCACCGTTTTTCTTCAAACTTATACCATTAAAAGCAGAACAAAATTGCCTTTCTGTCGGTGCATTACTTTATTGTAAAGAGTCCCTCGTTCTAGCAGCGTTTTGGTCCGCAGCTGTTAGAAGGACTTCTTACAGCTGGGGACCAAAATGCTGCTGGAAGTAGGGACTCTGTTTAAGAGAATAATGTACCATCAGAAAGGGATTTTTGTTATGCTTTGAATGGAACAAGTTTGAAGAAAATGGTGCAGTATGAGACTCGTAATCCTTGATTTTCAAACATCCGGTAGGTCAAAAATTCAAAATAACGGTCGAAATTAGGACCACGTGTTTTCGAGTTATGGTCAAATACGTTAAAATGGTGGCCATTTTGAAAAATGGCCGCCTTCTACCAAAAGTGTCATTAGACAGTGTGCCATGCTTATAGTATTCACATACAAAATATGAACAAAATCACTCCACTACTTTTCGAGTTACAGCAAAAATCGTAAAATAGCGAGTAAAGGCCATCATTTTTCAAGATGGCTGCCATGTGCTTCTTTAATATCTACATTTCTAGCTTTATTAATGTCCTATATAATTTTTTTAGATTTAAAACATATTGCTATTACAGTTTTACACATTGTACCTAAATTACTGTAAAATCTGCAATAAAATGGCTGCCATTTTTGAATGAGCAGCCATTTTGAAAAACGGCTTTCGAGCAGAACTTCTACCCCCATAGGGTATATGTTTACAAAATATGAAAAAATCGGGACAAAGGTATTTGAGTTATTGTCCGGACAGACATACGGACAGATGGATGGAGGAGTTCCCTATATCCCTTCGAACTTCATTTGATGGGTTAATAAACTTTGAGAGAATGAATTATCCAAAGGATGCATAAACATCAGCCAATATAAATCCGTGTGCAAATCCAAACTACCTTGTTTCATTTACAGTACATTTCATAAGACCATGTGTTGTGCTAATATGTGATGGGTAAATCTAGATATCAATTCTTCCCATTAAACACAAATAGAAGATCCTGAAACTTCACCAATAAATGTGAAATTGATATGTCAATATAAAAATCTCCTTTTGATAAATCCGTGATGATCTATATTATACATGTGCCACATAAACAGACAGAGGTCATAACACAGTGACTTCATCCTGAGCACACTTGGGAATTATTCTGGGATTGTGCCTTACTAAATAAAATGGTGAGCAACACAACAAATGAGTGTTCGATTTGCTAAATGATATGTGTAACCTTATAAATGGAATAAATGTATATCCATTTGAGATGTGCATGTATTAGTAACTGCATTTCAAAAGTTCAATGAAGAATTTATTTATAGTTTTAAACTGTACCCACACTATCTCTCCCTGCTATTTGAGTAATGCTTTCCAGTCATATTATATAACATTTTTGATTGTTTTTACAAGAAATCTGTTATATCCCATAAATCGACTCTATATTTCATATAAATAGATAGGGTGAGCCAAAAAAACAATACCCAAGTTTAAAGATGAATAATTCATATGATATATGTTAAACCATGCCATGTATTATATATCATTTTAAAGATAAATTTTTTCCAGCAAAATGACACCATCCAATTGAAAAACCTTTTTTTCTCATGGAGTTAGAGATTAAAATTGACACCAGGGGTACCAGAGCGACCAAAAACCATTAAATGAAAATTCCCAAATTTCCTTCCATATTGCAGTCACAGTTGCACTTAAATGCTTGACTAAATCATCATATTTATTAAGAGTAATCCACAATTGATAATTAATTATCAATATATATAAGTATTATTGCTGAATTTTGCACAATACTTGGATAAATGTACCTCTTTCGAAGGTGCCAAAGTTCAAATTTCCCTCCATTTTCTACAATTTGGAATCCTCAGTGAATAGATTTTTGGTCACTCATGACACCCCTGGTGTCAATTTTAGCCTCTAACTCCACAAGAAAACAACGGTTTTTCTATCAGATGGTGTCATATTGTTAGGAAATGATTTATCTTTAAAATGATATCCAATACATGGCATGGTTTAACGTTATATAATATGATATTCATTCTTAAACTTGGGTATTGGTTTTTTGGCCCACCCTGTATATATAAGCTTCATGTATATATAAGCTTTCTTGAAAACCTATGTCCATACTACATACATGTAATCTAAAAATACTTCATCCTGGATAAGTAATGACCAAATAGTAATAAATATCTCTGGGAGTATAACTATGGATGTCAGATAAGCTAAGTCTAAGGGCTCATCCCTAATCTCACTGGCAATAATGTTAAAATATTTCTACTTTGATATTATGAGAAGCTGACTTTTCTACAGGACAGTACAGACTGTGGATCCCACAATGGTGTATAGATATTTGATACTTGGTATCTTCACAAAACGAGCCAATATATTGAGCAATGACAAGACTCCTAGTGACAGTATACATGTATATCATCCTGTCGATTTACAATAGACAATTTACTTCCTTTTTTCTAGTAAATTGATGTTTCTTTAAGAGGCTCTTTAACACTTGCCTTTATACTCAAATCAATACAGTTTAACATGCAATATAATCCAGGAAAAACAGCAAATTGCTCTTCAATAATAAGTGGTTCAGAGTTACAATAGTCATTAGTGGTATATTGATTATGCTTCCAGAGACAGTTATTTCCACTTGTATTAGCAGAGGTGTGAAATTTTTCCCAAGGGTTTATAGAATAATTATAATGTTTCAATTTTGAATTCATCTATTTCATATAAAATATTTGTTCTTTTTCAGATAAATGGTATTTAAATATTTCTAAAGTTATCAATTAGCATCTAATGTAATACATTTCATCAGAACATGTGGCATTGCATGTTAACGATCATACTGGATATATAGGGAATAACCTGGGGCATGTTGTAAAAGTTCATGAATACTCAATAATTAATTATTTACAACCCCATTCCCAATGTTGTATTTATATATACAATTTATATAGTTTATTTTCATAATCATGTCTTCAAATATTATTAACTTCCCTTCATTATGGAATTCAACGTCACATTCGCAATTTTCTAACAAGCAAAAATATTTTTCTAGAATGAAAGAGCATTCTTTCCGAAACCTAATTTAGGGTTACTAAGGCTAAACTTGGTCTTTCTAAACAAGACTATGCCAGAATAGTCCCCGGAGAACAAATAAGCACTGTTGTATTATTAGTGATATCCTGAAAAGCTTTCTAAAGGCTGTATTTTGTCGTTGTCATAGTTTGGAACATGAAAGGTCTAACAGAGACCAATAAAGGAATGCACCTACCATTCCTCCCAGTTGTATCAGTCACTGATATTCAGACCCCATTAAAAAATTAAAAAGACTAACTGTAAGTTCATACTCCTATAAAAACACTCAAGAAATCCTTTTAAGACTGTCAAATGTCTTCTTCTTGGGGATATCAATACTAATATGCAAGGACCTGGTGATTGCTGACCTCACTACAAAGAGATCATGAACCGTGATAATTTGAAGCACTGATAGACGATTATGAAAACAATGAATTCATTTACATTTACTATTATGATTAAAAAAGTGAAGTTTGCAGAGCTTCATTTTTTAAAATATAATTAGTTGAAAATTGTATTCTTCCCCATGACATGATGCTCTCATATTAGAATCATGTTGATTTCTAAGACAAAGTTCAACATGAGAGCATATATCTATTAAATACGCAAATACTATGGTTTTGTGCAAGAAGGATTGGCTCCTAGTGTACCAACTGGATATTTAATCTCTGAGCAATTCGTTCAGTCCTCATCGTGCCTGAATACTTCTTAGGCAAGGAAGACAAGAACAAACTACTACTGAGAATGCCCAATTCTCTTGCGATAGTTCATTCAGTGTGTTCAAACAAACCGATGACAAAGATGCAAAAAGTTGATATTGTCTGACATTTTAACTGGCTATAAATTCATTTTAGAATTATGTAGATGTAATAAGACCAAAACTCACGATGCAAATTCTGAAGTGAAAAATGTCATTGGTTTAATTTTGAATTATGTTATCGCGACATACGACCACTCCATGTCAGTAAAAGATCGAGCGCGAATGCTGGGAACCAATCTTCATTGAGTTTTGAGAGTATTTTTTTCTCAATGTTACGCAACTTTAGGGAGATTTTGGGATGATATCATTCGAATCCTACTATTTTTTCAGAAGACAGTGATCTCTGGGTTATACTCCTCTAGAGTTACTCGAGTCTCTAGCTTACAGCTAGACGTAACTTCATTGATTTCGTATGTACTCCAGAAAAGGTGCTACACGCATCTACACACACCTAGAACTCATTTTTAATAAATTTTAATCATATTTTTAAGAATTTTAATCATATTTAGGATGAAGCGTTGCTTGTCTGGATTTAGATATTTCAAAATTTCATTTCGGAGTTTGACACATGGTGAAATTTTCTCGCTGTAGCTTAAAATGGCTTCCGGTCTGGACGTGAATAAAATTTAAGATTATTCTCGCTTAAAGAAATCAATTATAACAATAGATTCAGACGGGGATGTGAGCTGATGTTCTTCAAATCTATACATAAAGGTATATTTCATATTATTATGCCATATTTACTGTGTGAGTGACACAATGATTTACAATATTTATAATACTAAGGCAGCTCAATCTTCCTACTCAAAGCCGGAATATAGAGAAGGCTTTGGACCGAAGTAACTCTAGAGTATCATTTTTTCATTCGATAATGGCCAGAAACCCTGTAGAGGGTCCAAAACTTGGCCAAAGGACCTGACACAACTTCTTGTGCCGGAAAGAGTACACTTGAGAGAACATAACAACTCCAGTGCAAACTTTTCTAATTTTTACAGCCAGTACAGGATATTCACCCCTGAAATACGTATAACCCCCATTCTTAGTCCCTCCCAAGTTACATGACCACAGACAGTCACACTGTGTGTTTCAACGTAAAAAAAATAAAAACAAAACTTACCAAGAACTCCAACAAGCGTTAAATATGGAATTCCGAGTTGTCTCCACTTTGAAATTTGACCAGTAGATGCATCTCCACTTCCTCGATCCTTCCGACGCGATGGTTTTACCTTCCCATTATTATTTGATGTACTTTTATTCCCATTTTCATGAGCCGCAGAATTTTGCTGCCGACGTTTTGCCGCCATATTGATTTGAGTGACGATCGGCTGTTTCCGTAACCCGTGTAAACAAATACATAAAAATACAGATATAAACTAAATATTCTGCTAAAATACAATTTTAGTGTATTTTTTAACTTTATTACTACTTTTATGGATAAAATAACGATTGCTCGTAGTTATTTTATTTCCGTAAATTTTGAAACAATTACGAGAACTTCCTTATATGGCTAATTGGATCGGTCTCCAATAGTGACCGGATAGTTTATGTATGGCCGACTTGCAAGGTGGAAGTGACTTTTAGAAGTTTGTGAATAAAAGTTAATATTATCGTAATCTAGAGGTAAAAAGTTACAAAGACTGGACAATATTTAACTCAACAGTCAGAAGGAGTTTATAAGAGCACAAAGTAAAGATGTCAGCCATGACAGCGGCACGTATAGGGGGTACAGAGGCAGTTGCCCAAAATACCATGTTATCTGATTCTGTATGGAGAACAAGACCACACTTCTCAACTTATCTCACAACTGATGTTAATGCTGGAGCAAACACTGTTGAACAAATTGAACATAATAGACGTCAACGACATATGAAATTCCCCAAATTAAGTGGACGTGGAGATGTGGACTCTTTTCAAAAACCTGGAAACACTGCTTTTATCAAATTCAATGATATTGGTGATCACAGATCTACCGCTCCTTTGAGGAGTTTTGACAATATAGTAGACCCAGTGTCTGGGTTTGTAGCAGTCGCTGCTGAACTTGACAGAAACACAGGTCGTTTAAAAATGGCTCCAATGGGCCAGATTCCAGATACACCTCAAACATCTACTCCACAGACTACAAACTCTATACGTAAAAACATGACGGCTGCTCCTCGTGAGACTCAAAGGTTAACTGTAAGTGAACCTGGACCCCCATCAACCTGGAACAGTAGGAGTGTATCTGACGCTTCAATTAGGGCTTCCCTAGGAGGTAACTACATATATTAAGAAGTCAATAAATCATGCTATACTTAATTATTACAAGATATATGACTACCGTACATCCATAACTGATTGACAACAATGATGGAAAAGTGCAAATTAGAAATGTGAGAATTTTGTAAAAATGTGAAAATTATTTCATTATATTGCGTGGCACATAAAATCCAATAATATAAACTTGTTTAAAAACATCTTCTAGCATCTTTTGAAATATCAATACAATCATGAATATGTGTGTCTGAATGTATTGTATTATATGATAATAATAAAAATGAATGAGATGAAACAATGAATAATTAAAACCATCTATCCCGTTGCTCTATAGTATTAGATGCAAGATAGATGTCATGTTGACATTCCCCATAAATTTATAACTCAATAGCTACGTGCATACTATACAAGATAAAATCAGATTGGGGTTTACGCTTTGATTTATTACCAGAGAACTTTTCAAATATATTTTGCACGATACTGTGTCATATTAATGGAGTTGTAGCAAAGGTTAGGGGAAAAAAATCAATTCATATGAGACAAAACACAAACATTTATATGCATGCCACTGCTTTCTATTACCAGATAAAACACATTGCTACTGAGCAAAGCAGAAATTAATGGTAAATTGCTCATCAGGATTCTGATGTTGTTCATTTAGCAATGGGACGATATTCATAGTCATTGAAGCTGAAAATTAAGTTTGTGGAACAATTCATAATTCGGCTGTTATGCATTGATTGTATTTGCATGTAATGGATAGAAGATTTGAAAAGTGTCTTTAGCATATTATAGATCACTTTACTATTTTAAATTGCTATTACCAAGCTGTTAAGGTAGACATCTATAATATGTTATGTATCTTTATTGCCTCCTAATATTGGAGAGTACATACTTTTGATATATTACAATGATAATAAATGACAAAAATAAAACATATTATGCACTATATACAAATGCGTTTGAATATAATAGTGCGATCAGATCATCTCAGTCAGATGAGATAGAAAAAACAAACCAAAACAATCATAATTTTAATGCCTGTATTTATTATACATGTACTGATAAGTGTTTAATGCTGTAATTTTAGACATTCAGGAGTTAATTGAAATTAGCTGAGTAAAATTGGAAAACAGTAAAATACTTAAACGTGTACATGTAATGTATAGTGTGTAAATAATGTATGCTCATGTGGCATTAATCAATCATTTCTATCATATTTCAGGCTGGACCAGTGATGTTGATCCAAGGAAAGCTGAGAAGGAGAAGAACTCTAAACCCAAGACAGCAGATACACAATGGAGGGATAACTTAGCATTGAAATATTCGTATACACCTTCAACACAGAGGTAAGTTGTTGACACTTCACTCCTCGGATATCATATCCTGCATACATTTTCGATTGTATTATTTCAATACTTTGTATTATGCATCCATTAAAATATTTCATATGAACAGATATTTGTAATACCATATTTTTACTTTGATAAATTATTTTTTTCGGATATCATTGCCTGAAGGTATAATTGATTTATACTTCCTATTATAGGGCATATGAGGAAGTACCATGGGATAACGTCCTCCCACCAAAACAATGGCCAGCTACCTCCACACTTGAAGAGCGACCAGATATGATTTCTCAGAGGTTTGCAACAAAACGCTATGACTCAGAAGCTAACAAATGGCAAGGCATCGGTCGATCATGGGATTGGTTTCAAACGAGAAAAGGACATTACAAACATGGCCCTAATCAAATTGTATTGTAAGTATTATTTAAGAACCTAAAGGAATGTTACCATTTTTGTATAATGATAAAGCAAATGAATACTATCATTGTTGCACGATGATAATAATGTTTTGCATTGTTCTAGATTTTTTTGAATCATCAGAAATACAATTTTAAAGCCACCTTATTTCAATCAGATTGTGTCATATTGTATTTCTTATAAAAATCTTTTTACAGTTGCAGTCCTTGTCCAAGGCAAAAGCAGATTCCACTTTATGGGTAAGTCCTGTTCACATTAATAGTTAGACCCTCATTTAGCAACATTAGAAACCCATTTAGCATCATTGTAGTCTAGTCAATTGAAAACCTGTTTCATTATTCAGTGTTTAGTTCATAATATTACAAAACAGACTGCATGAAACTGGATTACTGTAGATACGCTTATTTTGACGCTACTTAATTTGGTGTTAATAGGATATTTTCTGTATTTCTTTTGGAATAATGTAGAATTGATGACATTGATGAAAAGGGGCCCCTGGAGTTTAATTTCTGAAGTGTTTTTGAAAAAAATTCCAAACTGAAATTTGACGGATTTTTGATTTGACTGATTTTGTGAATCCGCCAATCCGTCAAATTAAAACAGGAGCCAAATTAAATATATCTACAGTAATAGAGACATATAATAGTATGAATCAATAACACATATGCAAGCAATAATGATGATCCCCATGTTGCATCAAGGTTAAATAGAGGTCACTTACATCCATGGCAAATCAACATCCTTTTCTATGAGACCTGAGAATGGAATAAAACTATAAATGTTTCTGTATGTCATATCCATGCCAACGGAATGCATGTATACTAATGTAAATTTTGTTACATCACAACAAATACTTAGTTGTAGCACCAATCCTCACATTTCCCTTCCCTTTATAGTGGTTGTGTAGGAGGAGAGAACCTAGATGAGATAGACAATGCAGCTGAACGCTTCCAACCATTAACAGTAAAGCGTGTAGACCTACCACGCTTCACAGATACAGCACAGTAAGTTAGAAAATATATGTTAAATATTGTCATCTTAATTTGTTTACCATTTAGGCAATCTGAGAACTGACAGTGTATATAATTGTTTGTACATACTAGATAAAGTATTACAGTGATACCCTTTTCAATCAAAAGAAAATGTTAACTACTTTGGGGGTCATTCAGATCATACCAGACTCGGAGTTGAAGCCCATAGTCTATCCTAGATAAAGGGTATTTGTTACTCTTAGCCTTCAAGCTACATCTTTGCAAAATTGTTTTTTATATTAACCCTGTACATCATTTTTGTGTAATTTTTCAGTCGTCCCAATATTCCCAAGTATACAGGCTGCACGCTATATCAACGTCAATACAGCCCTGCCCATTCCAAGACTGCCACACCTGAACCACAAACCACTGCAAGAGTGCATAGGTAAGGACTTTTGATAAACACACCAAATTACATGTACTTCACTGTAGCAGGGTGTATCATAACGATTTCAAATCAAATGGTACAAATTACTAGTAAATGAATACAGACTATTAACATGTTATTTTCATGGTTTCATATTCATAATGACATTATTAATCAGGCATTCTACTGGACAAATTATATTTTCTAATGGTTAGTGCTCATACTGAACCCTGCATTGGTTTGCAGAAAATAAATGGATAATATTTAAAAAATTCTCTGACTTCAATAAGTTGCACCAGGTTCCATCATATGTCCTGTATCTTGTATTGGTGAGTAATCTTGAGGGAATCTGTCTGTTTCTCTCAATGCAATCATTATACAATGTATTGCCTCATTAACATACTCAGCATTTTATTCTTATAATTCTAGATCATTACCAGATGCAACAAATGTTACACAAGAGTTCAAACGTGACTCCCAGATGTCCAAAATGGTTACAACTGTACCACCAAACAACCCATTCAACAAGAAACCAACACATACTGTTACTGTCATGGGGCCTGTGTGAGACATTAAGAAACCAAAACCAGAGCAACAAAATATTAAAGTATTAAAAGCTATACTGGGACAGGTTTCCCTTGCATAAGCTTTTCCTTGTAATGGAAAAATGACTGCCTTGTGGACTGTGGACATCACAAAACCAAAATGTCAGTACACCACACTGATGAATGATGATAGCTTCATAGCCTGCAATAATATGCTCTGAGGTGGCATATAACTTTATATAATACCCATTTATCCACATTATAACCTGTTTCAGTCTATGCTCAGTGCATAGTACATCTATGTCTATCAGTACATGTATATGTTGATGTACAAGATGTGCAGTAATAAGAAGAGTGTATGATAAAATGTGATACTTAAATAGAAGTTAGGGTCAATTGTATGTAAAGTAAGATTTGCAATATGAATCATAAGTGTCTTCTGTGATAATTCTAATACATAATTAAAAGAATGAACATTTTAGCTGGTCTAAAATGTTAAAATCAAATCAGTTGGGCAAGTGTTTTCTTCTTAAATGAGGGAAAGTATTATACAATTTTACAAGAGCCTAGCTGTAAAACAGAGCAGAGTGTGGCAAGTAAAAAACATTAAAGCATATGTTCTTTAACATCAACAGGTTCTATGTATTCTATGTATTTAAAATACATATTTCACAGTAAAAAAATTTCTATGCACGGAAATTATGCAAAACTACAATTAACAATATCTGCTGAATTTTTTTAATTTTTTTAAAAAAAAAATTGCTGAAATTATTTATTCATGTTGTAAATTAATTGTACTACAGCTTTGGAAGGATGAAGTTAATTACAATTATGGGAAGGATAAATTATGATTTTATCAGTGAAAAATTCAAATTCAAGTAGACGACAAATCAACATTTTTAATTTCTTTAAACAAGGGAAGAGAGAGTGTTCATAATTGAATTAACTTCATTTTTCCATAACTCCTTATTTGGACATTGTCCCTTACTGTTGTCAGTTTATAAATGTTTACTCACACACAGTATTATTATTACATGTATTCGTTCTTATTTGCTGATGTGCATTGTAGGCATAATAAATGCTGTGATATTTCATTTTTGAATACATGTACATAGATGTTAACCAGCGGCTAATTCCAGTGTACGCTTATACACAATAATATGGCCATTTGTCAAATATTATTTATAGAGGTAAGAAGGATATTTCAGAATCTAGCTATGTTCTAATGAAGATATCTTAACACTGATATAGCATTTAAAATGATACAGTGTCTATGCATGAATACCAAAACAAAATTTTGTAAATAAATAAAAATATCAAATCAAAATAAATGTTATGTTTACATAATTTATTTAGTATTCAAATGGGTTTTAGAGTTTTTGCGACATTATATTATTGAAATACATGTACAGTTCATTATTCATCTCTAATTGATTGGCTAGCAGAGAACTTCTTGCAGAACATTTCCAATTTGTTCAAATTTTGGAAACAGAGTTAACAAACATACTTTTGGAACAGCTCTTTTATGATCTGAAATTGATTGTTTTGGAAGTGATATTTTTCCCAAAAGAACATGGAAACTATACTTCTACTTAATGTGGCGCTACTTATTTTGGCGGATTTGTTGTTTTGAACATTTGGTGGCTACTTTACTTGGCAGACTTGCAATATTACAATGTACTAATTTACATGGTACTAAAATTACCGGGGAAATTTGCGGCTAATTATTTGGGAATTAACAATTGACTTCAACTATTTGGCAGATCCGCCAAATTAAAACGGCTACCAAATTAAGTAGAAGTACCGTATTGATTTTGTGAATGAAAGCTAATAAGCTCTTTCGGTATGATTTCAATTCCCTATGAAATAGAATTTAAGTACTATGAACAATGAGGATTAAATATTAATGTAAGAGGTTTTCAGAATATTTCCAGCCATAGATTACCAGATTTAGAGTAGAAATATCGAGGTACATTTTTAAAACTTATATTGATTTATGATTCAATTCATTTCACTGAATAATTGTTTCTTCTTGCAAGACTAGATCTGACACAGATGTATGTAGACCATCTTCTTGCATTACCATTTCATTAATAATTTCAGCATTGTCTTGCATGACTACATGTTCATTAACTTCAGCATTGTCTTGCATGACTACATGTTCATTAACTTCAGCATTGTCTTGCATGACTACATGTTCATTAACTTCAGCATTGTCTTGCATGACTACATGTTCATTAACTTCAGCATTGTCTTGCATGACTACATGTTCATTAATTTCAGCATTGTCTTGCATGACTACATGTTCATTAACAACAGCATTGTCTTGCATGACTACATGTTCATTTACTTCAGCATTGTCTTGCATGACTACATGCTCATCTGTGATTCCACCATCTACCACTACATAATAAGATTCAGGAACATCAATATTTCTATTATTTATTAAAACATATGTTTCTCCTGGGGTTTCACTATTATTATCTAAACCTGAATTTAATATCACAGTTTCAGAATCACCATTTACATTTTCAATATTTTGTGTCCCAAAATTGTCTGTTGATATGAATTCTTGAGAATTATGATCATCAGTTAATACAATCTGCTCTTCGGCAATTTCCTGAATATATTGTGGTGTCTCTTCATGTTCTTGTCCTTCAGTGAAATCTACATCAGGAGGTAACACCACATGAGATTCTGAATCTTCAGTTGATGGAATCAAGTGTTTTTCAACAGCTTGAACTAAAGATGCAAACTGATTATCATGGTCCTCTATGATATGAATCAGATTGCCACCATCTGGCCCTAAATCAGTTTGTTCAAATTGGAACTCAGTGGCTCTTGGTTGAGATCTTGATTTTCGGTTGGTCTTGGCAGTCTCTGGGTGTACCCTGGCACGATGGCGATACATTGTCGCATGGCTTCGGAAGGCCATCTTGCAAACATCACAGCGGAATGGTTTTTCCCCAGTATGTTTTGTCATGTGCCGTCGCAGATAAACTTGTTTTTTAAATGTCCTGAAACATACATAAAACTGTGTTATGTCTAAATAAGCTACCGATGAGTTGTTCTGGCAGATTATATTTTTATTTCATTTGTTGCTATGAGTATACAAATAGTGCAGTAATCTCCCTAGGATTTTTTCTCAGGTGGGTGCAAAATTCTCATTTTCACAATTCAGACCAAAATTGGTCAAAATATGCATATTTTTCATGATTTTTCAAATGGGTGCAAATGGATTTTCAGGTGGGTGGTGCAGGCCAAGGGAACATGCCAGTGGAGAGGATGTTCTCGAGTGGAAATTTTTTACACTATTTCCCGAAAATGTGGCAGACACTATTTGTTTTATTGTATACCCCCTAATATGTACTCTGTAAACAAAAACAAAATGAGAAATCTTTTCATTTCAACATTTAATGTTGACAGGTTCTTATTGGTATTTAAAGGTATTTTGCCTTTCAACTCCTATAATCTCAGCTATCAGGGAAGATAAAACATACTAATGACTGGTCACATGACCTAACTAGTGATTAGTACATTTCATCTTCCCTGTTAGCAGGGATTTAGAACTTTGCAGGGAATTAGTTCATCTATTTCATATCATGTGACCATGAATAAGTCAATAAGCCTCTAAAATACATATGGGGTATATAGTTATATCATTTAATCAATAAGATCTTGTTTTAAGGACTTTTGATTCATAATATGGATTATATTTTAAATAATTATTTCTGGCATTAAGGAACATGACATTTTTGAAAGATGAAATATAATTTGTGATCCACTCTGAAATTTCTTCAGTATTATTCAAAAAGGCCATTTGGATTATTCAAAGAAAAATCTAAAAGGTTATACTCATGATATGTAAGCTTTGCTTCAAATTCTATTCATTTAACTTTAACATCTTCCACCAAAATATAAACAAGCCATTAAAATGCAAAATGTCACCGACCGCCAACCACCAAATGACAGCTACCGAACACCATCCACAAAAAAGTTGGAGACTAACAATATGCTGGTAGTGGCATACCAAGATTGATGAGCTGGTATTTGAGTTATTGCCTTGATTGATGGACCGACTGATGGAGGGATGGACTAACTATTGGCTTGACCAGAGGCTTCACTATTATCCAGACTATCATTCTTTCATTCATTGGCCTTACTTACCATATTCAAGGACTATGTTCTAGTTTAATAAGAGTACTTACTGGCCACAGTTTTCTATGGGGCAGACAATGTCTTTCTGCAGCGTGTGTACAGCATGCACATGATCCCTGAGAGTAAGGCTGGAACGCCCTGCATAGTTACAGAATTCACACGTAAATGGCCTCAATCCTTTATGATATTCTTCATGCTCCTGAAATACATTCTGTGAAGCTGTCTGAAAGTCACATTTATCACATTTGTAAGGTTTGTCATGAACGAATCGGAAATGTCGTGCTACATCCGCTTTTAACTTAGAATGAAAGTTACATTCTTGGCACATGTAGAGCTCTCCAGTAGTCATGTCCGAGTGTGCACGTTTCACATGGACCAACAGGGAGGATCGGATTTTATATTTTTGACCACAATGGTCACATACATGAGCTCCTTTGTCACCCAGGTGAGTTCGTTCATGTTGCTTTAGCATATGTCGTACTGGAAATTGTTTTTTACAAACTTCACATTCATGTCCATTTCCTTCATGACACGCCAAATGACCTTCAAATATGCTTTTGACTGTTGTCTTAAAGTCACATTTTTCACAATTAAAACTTCCACAACCTGTTTTGCATAAATCCACGTGATATTGAAACCGTGTGGCATTTGTGAAGAAAATCTTGCCACATACTTCACATGTATATTCCTTATTATCATGGAACTTTTCATGTTGTGTTTTACGACTAAGAGTTGGGAAGGTTTTAGGACAACTTGAGCATTTGTAAGATCCAAAATATTTATCTTTCACTCTTTGGAAAATGTCCCGTGATTCAGGATGTTTCTGCAGTATGTGTGAGAGAATGACTCCCCATATTGTGTTAGAAACTTCACAATATGGACATTTAAATACATCATCCGAGTGGCAAGCTTCATGTAACTCAGTCTCCGCTTTAGTAGCAAAATATCTCTGGGGACAATATTGACATTTGAAACTCTTACTTTTCTCTAATTTCCTTGGGCCTCTCAGTGCCCTCTTTATATGTTCTGGGGCATGAGTTTTTCTCTTGTGGTCATGAAGTTTTTGCTTGGAACCAAACACTTTCAAACAGAGATCACAAGTAGATAATTTGTTCACATTGTTTAATGTTTTAGTCAATATTCTTTTCTTTTGTTTCTTAGGTTTTCTACCCCTGCGGCTTTTATTCTCATTTTCAATTTCATAATCCGAATCAGTGTTTCTATCTTTTACTTTAACATTATCATTTTCTTCACATATTTTAGTTATATCATGTTTGTTCTCATTATCAGATACTCCAAGCTCAGTTTTTTCACTAATTGTTGCTTGTTGTTCACTTGTTGCAGTTCTAGATTCATCATTATTATGATCAACCTCTTCATTTTCAATATCATTGCATGGTAGATCAGCTTTGTGATTGTTATCTTGGACTCCTGGTGCAGACTCAGAATCTGAAATTATAATCAACAAACATGTACATATCAGAAAATACTAGAAAAACAGCAACTCCATGGAGCAAATCCCACCAACAAAACATATTTTGATAAATAGTGTTCATCTTGAAAATGTCTTCTTAGCAGAGCTCCTTTGTCATTATGTAGCAGCCTATAAAATTTGAACCAAATCTGTCAACTGGTATTCTGGTTATAAAAGATTACATATTAAATGACAAATGGTGGCCATAATGATAAATAGCAGCCATCTTGAAAGTTCATCTTGAAATTTGAACCATATCGTTCCACTGGTATTTGGGTTATCTGTATAACTTTTTACGAAAAATAGTGGCCATTTTGAAATTCAGTGGCCATCTTGAAAGTATCTTCTTGAGCAGAGCTCCTTTGTCTCTAGGAGAAATTCTTTCTTGAACAGAGCTACGGTGTCCCTAGGCATCAGCATATAAAATTTGAACAAAATTAGTTTACTGGTATTTGAGTTGTCAAAGATTACATTAAAAAATGGTGGCCATTTTGAAATTCAGTAGCCATCTTGAAAATCTCTTCTTATGCAAAATTCCTTTGTCACTGGGCATCGGCATATACAATATGACTTAACTTTTTTATGAAAAATGGTAGCCATTTTGAATTGAGTGGCCATATATAAAATTCCTTCTCCAGCAGTTTCTACACCCATAAGGCATAATCCTTTAAAACTTGAAACAAATCATCAACCGGCATTTGAATTATCACCTGGACAGTGTGACTAATGGATGATACGGACGATAAAAATAGTTTGGACTCAATGTTTATTGAAATGGAAAAACAATTTATGTAAACATTCGATTGAGTTAAGTGCAGCCAGCATTGATTAAATTTAGTACAGTAAAATAAAACATTGATGCAATCTTTATAAATACCTGTGTTGTTATGTGCATTGCCAGCATCTCCTCCTGCTCCGATAGATTGAGCCTCTGGTACATCTGACATTACAGAATCAACTGTCGTAAAATCATCACTTTGATATCTTTTATTTGGAACACACTTTCTTCTTGGACGTTTTAAGGCAACAACTGGAGTTTCAACTTTGTCAAAGTTATCCAATTCAGGATAGGCTTTAGCCTCTTCAGGCTGTTGTGGCCTTGGTCGTGATTTCTTTTTTGGAAGTTCATTTTTACAATTCCGTTCTTCTAGATGTCCAGCTAGTTTATCAAATACTTTAAATGATTTGTGACAGTCGTTACAGGTTAAAGTGAATTGAATGTTTATTTTCTCCTTATTGTCTAAAACAGGTTTAATGTGATTTTTCCCAAGTGGAATACTGATAAATAAGGAAGATTCTCCCAGCTCACTGACAACCACTTTAATATCTACTGCCATATTCTGGAATCACATATAAGAATAAATTAAGCATTTCGTGGTTCGCTCTTTAATCGAGAAGGTGCGAAAATATGTCAGAAAATATGTACTTAAAAGCCCTCAAAAAGGACAAAATTTAATTGGTCAATATTTTCCAATGATACATTTCGCGTAGCTATTTGCTTGAATAGTTCTAAATCGCACTAATTACACAATTTTGTTTCGTTTCTGATAATTCTTTCTGTACTCAAGTGGGAATATGAATGAAGATATTGATTGAAATATATAATTTTTTTCATTTGAGCTACATATCTCACACAGACAACATAGGGCATATGCGTGTGGTATAATGTAACTTGATATCCTTAGATAGAAACAGGGGGTACACTGACAACCACTTTGATATCCACTGCCATATTCTGGAATCACATATAAGAATAAATTAAGCATTTCGTGGTTCGCTCTTTAATCGAGAAGGTACGAAAATATGTACTTAAAAGCCCTCAAAAAGGACAAAATTTGATTGGTCAATATTTTCCAATGATACATTTCGCTTAGCTATTTGCTTGACCCGAAAATTCTAAATAAAACGAATTACACAATTTTGTTTCTATTCTGATAATTTTTTCTCTACTCCCATAACGGAATATGAATGAGGATATTGATTGAAATATTTCTTTTTTTCATTTGAGTTTCCAGCTCCCTGTATTAATCTGACAGGAACTGGTACCTTTATCCTGGCTAGGACCACAGACAGTTCAAGCCAGCACAGGCCTTTTATCGAGTTAGTATCACTCGTAATCAAGTTCTCTGGTGTACTAGTTAGCATAAGCTGGCTCCTGTCACCGCAAGCTGGGATTGAACCCAGGATGCGGCATCAGGAGTCCAGAGTGCTAACCTTTACACCACAGAACCAAAGACAATATAGGTGTGGAAATCCCTAAGTTACCTTTTGAGTTGGGTATGTCCACTTATGAGCTGGTTGATGATGCAGGTGAGGAGATTCTTTGGATGGGAGATACAATTTTGGATTAGAGCCAACCTTTTCTATGGAGAATTAGGGTGAAGGGGTGTAACCTTGACACCATTTTGGGGTTACTTCGACATGTGGGGTAACTTCAACACCTTGTTGTTTATTTGCTCTGATTTCCAATCTAGGGGGAAGCCATTTTTTTTTCACGCATGGATTGAGATCTCACGAGATTTTAATTTTTCCAGAAATCGAACATGGCAGAAAATGAAAATTCTACTTCTAATAAGTAAGTGCAGAGCTGTCAAGTGTCCCGCGAATGGCGGGATTATCCCGCGAATTTGATCAAAATTAGGCTAATTCGCGTGTCCCGCATTGTCCCGCGAAGTCCCGCAAAATGTGGCTTTGACCTCCGCGAATTTCCGAAATTATTGCAATCCCCTATATTTTGATTATCTTATCTTATATAAGAAGCTAAGTTTTTGCACTTTTGAGGAGTAAAGTTTACCTAATTTTAAGTACCTAGCATGCTGTTGTTTGGTATCAAAATAAAGGGGAAGGGTTCAACTTTCATTTTAATTACGAAAATAGGGATGTAGGTCACAAATAGTTCCAACGTTGGCCTTTTTACTACCCGTGTGGCCTTCATCTCAGAACTGAGCAAATGTTAGAAAACGCGAGTTACAATAAATGTACGCTGATATCTAGAAAGGGTTTGTATAAAAAACCGGGTACCGGGTAGTAAATCCTCCATGCTGGGTTCAAACTTGGTACCCGGTACCCGGTAAAAAAACGGGTACCCAAAAAACGAAAAATACGAATATATAACATAATTAGATTATGAGAAAACGTGTAAGATTTGTTTTGAATTTGCAAAAATGTATGTAACATGATTCAAAATTGAGCTAGAAGCTTCAAATAAAAAGCATATTTTAAGGCACCTTTCTTCCTCTATCGTTATGGCCATATTTTCATTGGTTATGGGGGGGGGGAGGGTGCGATCGCACCATCGCACCCTCTCCTGGCTACGCCTATGACATTGTAAGACATAACAATTTACAATTCAGTGGACATTTTGTCATAAATTGGGATAACTTAAATTATGATTAATAATCAAAATCTTACACGTTGCATCATGCAAATTAACACACGTCACCTCTCTGCTAAAGCAACGATAGCTATTTACAGATTTAAATCATAATCAAAACAATTCACGTACCAACATACGAACTATTGAAAATAGAGTAAGATTGATTTGTCTTGTTTTTCAAATCGTCTTACAATGTCATTGGCGTAGCCAGGAGGGGGTGCGATCGCACCCCCCCCCCTTCATTACCAATGGAAATATGACCAAGATGATAGAGGAAGAAAAGAGCCTTAAAATGCTTTTTATTTGAAGCTTCTAGCTCAATTTTGAAGGAAGTTACATACATTTTTGTAAATTCAAAACAAATCTTACACGTTTTCTAATGATCTAATTATGTTGTGTATTCGTATATTTCGTTTTTGGTTTTTTTCGACCGGGTACCAAGTTTGAACCCAGCATGGAGGATTTACTACCCGGTACCCGGTTTTTTATACAAACCCTATCTAGAAAATTAACCTCATTCCCTATAATTTGATGTAGATTAATGGAACCCCTATATCATGGGCGTTCAATTGAAAGCCCATGCCTACAGTATATGAATAGGTACATTTTAATATATAACATTATGGGGGTAAGCGTTTCATAGTTGGTCACGACGCCAGAAGTGCAAAGTATTGTTCCGAATTTTTGAATTTCGTTTTAGATTACGGTAATCACACCTGAAGCATGGTTTTTGTTTTTGATAAATTACAATAAAGTTTAATAATATTCCTATGCGTATTTTGTGAAATTGTGTTGACGTTTATTTAAGTTACAATGTAACGGCGCATTATATTTGATTAATCAGTATCTGAAAGTTTGATTTAGGCCTAAGTACTTCTACACGCTTTTACATTAGTCCCAATCACGCAAATCCCTTGAATGTCCCGGGACATCCTGCAAATTTAGGTGGATGTCCCGCGAAATCCCGCAAATTTAGGGCACTTTGTCTAAAAAATCTGTCCCTCTATGAAGTTTTTGGTGGTACACCTGTTAACTGTCCTGCAATTAGGGTGTTTGTCCCTCGAATAGTCCCGCGAAATCCCGCGAATTTGATAAAAAAATCTCCTATTAGCGCAATCACGCAAATCCCTTAAATGTCCCGCAAAATCCCGCGAATTTAGTAGATGTCCCGCAAAATCCCGCGAATTTTGGGCACTGGGTCTAAAAAATCTGTCCCGCGAGAAAATCTTTAGGGGTTGACAGTACTGTAAGTGTCAAAGTTGCCCCATCTCTTATGTCGACCACACGTTACCCCACACGTCGACGTTACACCCCTTTGCCCTAGAGAATGGCTTATATCAGCTATGCTGCATTCTGATTGGTTGAGATATTAAATTAGAGCACGGTCATATTTGAATTACTTTTTAAATACCTGAATGGTATATCATTACGTAAGGTATACTTACACTATCAAATGTACCTGTTGGACGGCGCCATATAAAGCAGATAAATGTAGATTTCTGGAAAAAATTCAAAAAAATGAAAAATTTAGAGATCCATGACAAGAACTGAGAAAAATTTCTCGTCAAAAATATCGATCAATACGTAAGTGTTGGGGAGCAAAAGATATATGCATACTTAATAAAATATTCAGATTACTACAAATATAATTTATTTTTTAAATTTGAAACATTGTCTCAAGCAAAATCAATTTATCAAAAATAGACTTATCCTTGCCATGAAATATTTCCCAGAGTGCAACACTCAATAAACTTCCGGTTCGAAAAAAGCGTGAGTATTTTTTTTTGTTATTGATCATTTGGAGAATAAGTACTCATCAGGATGAATGCTTATCGTGTGCAATTGAACCTCAAACATGTACCTTTTAAACCTACGTGTTTAACTCTGAGATTTATTCAAAATTTTTCGAAATATCAGATTGAAACCAAAAACCCATTCGTTTTTTTCACGTTTCGCCATTTGAAATAATTGGAGTAAGGGCAATCTACAACTGATTACTTGATTACCAATGGTTCTGGAAAGAAGATAGTCCTATTTATTCCAGATCGTGTTTTTGTTTCACATTACTAGTATGAAACAATCTAATCAACGAGAAAGTGCTCCCCCCGTGTGCCCTGTGTTTCATCAGTCATCATTGTTCTGTACATGAACATCTCATCCTTCAGGAAGCTGTCAATCTCTCTCTTGAACTGGTTTGTAGTTTCACAATCAATTATATGTTGGGGTAGTGCATTCCAGCTTTGTGCTATTCTGTTTCCAAAGCAATTTTTGCGTAGGTTAAGGTACAGCTGGAAAGTAACATTTTGGTAAAAAATTGCTATACCTGCACATGTTATTTTCTGGTACAAAATAAAGTATGAAGGCATGTGTCAATTTCCTTGCTTTTTTCAGGAAAGTATCATTACATTGTCTTCTTTTAGAATATCTGATAGGGGTTCAATGGGAACTCCAGGAAATTCTGATATTTCACACTTTCTATTTTTCCAAATTTTCTTTCAAAGTTTCCAGACAACACAGAAGCTTCCATTGACCTGTTTCCAGATATTCTAAAAGTAAACAGTGTAATGATACTTTCCTGAAAAAAGCAAGGAAATACACACATGACTTCATACTTAATTTTGTACCAGAAAATAACATGTGCAGGTATAGCAATTTTTTACCAAAATGTTACTTTCCAGCTGAACCTTAAGTCTGCTGTGCCTATGCTGTAGTTTTGTTGTGGGGCCTCTTGTTCGTGTATTGGTCGAGATCTTTGCAATGTCGTTAATGTTTAATCTGTCTAGTCCCTTAGCGATTTTGAACATCTGTATGAGGTCCCCTCGTTTTCTACGATACTGGAGTGATGGAATCCTCAGTGCTCTCTTACGTTGCTCGTAGCTCAAGTTTTTTAAACTAGGGATAAGTTTGGTTGCTCTCCTTTGTACTCTCTCTATCATATCCTGATCGAGGGCATATCCTTGTCCCCATGCGCTATTGGCATACTCTAGGTGTGGCCTTACAAGTGCTTTATACAATAGGGGAAGTGTTGTTTCATCTATATATTTAAATGTTCTTTTTATTAGACCTACCATCCTGTTGGCCTTAGATGATGTTAATCTTGTATGTTCGTGGAATTTCAATTTATTGTCTATATTGAGGCCTAGGTCCTTCTCAGTTTCTGTGACTTGAAGAACTGTATTGTTCATTACATATTGTTTGTTCACATTATTAGTTCCCATGTGCATGGTTTTACATTTGGAGGAGTTGAATGGTAGTTGCCACTTCTGGGACCATTGATCTAAGGCATCAATATCTATATATATATATATATACCAGACTTTACAGGTGTTCATGGTGATGTATCATTGTTTACTGTTACCGTTTGGAGCCTTCTTGTTAGGAACGAAGTTATCCATCTGTGGACATTTCCCTGTATGCCATATGCCTCCAGTTTGTGTAGTAACCTTGCGTGGGGCACTGAATCAAACGCTTTACTAAAATCTGTGTACATGCTATCTACCGGTTCCTCTTCGTCTAGTATTCCTGTGATTGTTTCCAAGTAGGATAAAAGTTGCAACATGGTGGATCTGCCAGGGACAAATCCGAACTGGTCTTCAGTGAGTAAGTCGTTATCTTGGAGGTGCTTAACTACACTGTCACGAACGATCCTTTCTATAATCTTGACCACAATTGATGTTAAGCTTACTGGTCTATAATTAGCTGGAATCTTCATTGCTTCCGATTTTCGAAGTCTACACACACGCACCTAGAAGTCCTATTTAATAATTCTTATAAATATTTATAAGAATATTAATCATATTTAGTTGAAGCGTTGCTTGTCTGGATCAAGATATTTCAAAATTTATTTTCGGAAACAACCTCAAACTCAACAGATCCGCCATTTATACAGCTCACTCGATAAAAGTGGAGGCCATTTTGAAATGAAATTCCACTTCGCTAAATTAAAATATATATAACAATTTATTAGAACCGGGATATAAGCTGATATTCTGCATATGTGTACATAAAGGTATGTTTCATATAATCGTGCCATAACAACTGTACGTGTGTCACCATGATTTACAAATATTGAATATCAAGGGGGCTGTAAACAATCACTCAAAGCTGGAATATAGAGAAGGCTTTGGACCTAAGTAAAGTTCAGTCATCATCATCCACGCTGTGAACAGTATGAATTAGGATCATCCTTACATGTACACCCATGGTCCTAGGTAGTTGCTTCAAATCTATTACTGGACCTTTACATCTAAAATCAATACCGGTCATATTTATTTGTTGCGGCTGCAAACATGGTAAAAATTAATGTATGGGCGAAACATGAAAGGAATTTTCTTGACATAGAGGGGCAAAATGGCCTAAACTCGGAACGTAATGCCCCCTGGGTATCATGTTTTTTCCAATGACCATTGCGCATGTATCATACAAGATCAACCAATCACAATTAGTTATAGATTGCCCTTAGTGAATAATTGCGTTTTTGATTCAGTGAAAACAATTTCTGAAAATATTTTCTTGTTTTTTATACATTATATCAAAACACTCTTCTCTACATTCTTTTCTATGTACATTAGTGCACTTGTTGTGCAAAAGTGAGAGATGTAGGTCAAAGGGATGTATCGTCGACGTGTGGGGTAATGTCAACGTAATTGACGGGGTAACTTCAACACTTACTTATTAGAAGCAGAATTTCTGTTTTCCGCTATGTTTGATTTCTGGAAAAATTTAAAACCTCTTGAGATCTCGATCCATATGAGAAAAGAGAGCAAATAAACAACAAGGTGCCGAAGTTACCCCAGATGTCGAAGTTACCCCAAAATGGTGTCAATGTTACACCCCTTCGCCCTAGACATTGTGGGGAAGGAGTGATTCAAAATAACATGTGACTATATTGAGGGTTGCAGCAAAATTCTGAACATGCACCCTGACCTTAATCCTCTAAATTTAAAAATGGTGGAAGATTAAAAAAATCACATGACATGACAAGTCATTATATTTTGTAAACTTGACCATCATACTTGAGATTGTTATTACATTGTGCAAAATTACACTTGTTTAGAATAATTTGTAAACTGGATTATCACATTTGAATCAGTTCATTGATTATTTTGGATATTTACTTTTTTCAAGAAAATGTGTGAATTGCTTCAATGTTTTGATTCATTTTCTGATATTTCCATTACTGGCTATCGAATAGCTAAACACCAGGCACCATGTTACATTGGAGATTCACATGAGTAAGTACACTGAAGGATTTAATATGCGCATTTGAATTTTTCAAGAAATCCAGCTTTTTGACAGACGAGGTTCAGACTATTTTAATAATAGCTGATTATATACACCAGGTAATGAAGGGGAAATTCTTTACTTAGGTCCTACAGTTAAATTTTAAATGTTTGGAACAAGTTGGTTAAATTACGAAATTATGTTCTAAGTCATCCCTCGTCCTAGGTCACATTGTGAATTCAGCCAAGCATGACTGTGAAGGCAGTCTTCTCAGGAAGTAAAACAGGCCTCATTCCTTCATGAGTTTTGATATCCATCTGACGAAATGTAAACCCCTGTTTAGTGATGTAGGTCAAAAATAGTTCCCATGTGGACAAGTTTATTGTGCATTGGCCATCATTCAGAATGGTAGCAAACGCAACTTACAATAAATAGGTGCTGATATCTCAAAGAGTAACCTGACTCAATATAATTTATGTAGATTAATCGGACCACTAGATGAAGTAGCACATTTTGTCATAAAGCACAATGGGAGCAAGCATTTCAGTTTGTCACTAATGCAAATGCATTATTTTCTCCATTTGCTCAAATCAATGAATAACTTATGTAATGTTTTATTGAACAGGATTAACCAGAAGTTTATTTCAAGATGTTTAATTTTCAACTAAAACTGTTTCAGGAGATGGATACAGAACTGTATGATGAGTTTGGTAACTACATAGGTCCAGAATTAGACAGTGATGATGATGCTGATGATCTTGATGAAGATGAACAGGTGGATAGAGACTTTGGAGGTCCAGAGGTAAACACACTTATCTTTAATGTAACCAGCGCGCAGAGTCTAGTTATAAACTACCCTCTGCCTAGTATAGGCTATATTTCAGTTAGCAGCCCCGCCCCGAAGAATTGTGCTTGTGACAGCGCGGGTATCATTTCAAATCTACCACGCTGACCCTTTCTCTACCAGTCAGTGAAGTGGAAGAAACACATGCTAAATATGTGCTCATTAACTATGGGGTGATGTCAAAGGAAATGACTATATAGAAAGTTGTTTGTATTTCGACGACGAAATCTGATTGGCTCGGTGAGATCAGGGATTTATTGTAAATTGAAAGAGTGAATATGAAGCTCTCTTTTAAGAAGTGAAGTCGAACGAATGCAAAGGGTATCTTTTATGCAATAGAATTTCACAATTCATCTGCATTTCGTTTTATTTACAGAGATACCTTATCTAACTTATACTGGTACAATGATTATTCTGATCATGTTTACGTCAGCCATGGTTTTTTGAATATGAAGAAAATACAGCTATAAATAGTATGTAACACAAAAATCCATTCTCAAGCCATAAAAATCACAAGACTAATATACTGAACATGTACTTTTAGCTGCTAGTGCCATTGTCTTCTTTGTATATGAATGAATGAATTTGGACCAATTGGTCAATAATCAAACATCTACTGTACTATTGAGCTCAGAAAGATGGTATCACTGCTCAATACTGGCTACTGAGTGGAGAATACTTGGAATAACCAATATGTGGATATTAAAAGATGGCAAGCTTGAAAACAGTAAATACCATATAGAATATTGATCAATTATCTTTAGACACTAGCTGTAGCACACCAATTATTTTTTTCTTAAAGCAACCTAATAATGGTTATTTGATCGGAGTGAACTCACAGATGTTCTAAAGCTAAAGATAAACTGTGAAAGATAACAAGAGAAAAACATTGATATGAGTGTTGGGAGTTACCACATAGTCTGCCTCAGTTTTGTTGAAATTGAGATAAACAGTCTAATCTACCTCGCTATTTGATTAAATTGAGGCAGAATTCAGATAGATTAACCTGTTATTATTCCAACAAAGAAATTCAGTGAATTGGAACAACATTATAAATAATGGCACAATTGATGAGTCAACTTTAAATTTTTCCTCCAAGTTACTGTCTATTTTTGACCATAACATACCTCACAAAATCAAGGTGAGGAAACCAAAAGATTTACCTTGGTTTAATGACGAAATCAAAAAGGCTGTGAATAACCGTGACAAATATTATAAGAAATTCAAAAGAAACAACACTTTGGATTCAAAGTTGAAATATAAAAATAAAGTTGAAATGTTGAATAATCTTATTAACAAGGCTAAACTTAACCATGAACAGGAAATTTGTGAAAATCTTCACACTTATTCAAGTGGGGAACATTTTTATTGGAGCGCTATTAAAAAATTACTTGGAAATAAATTTTCCTCTGGAATTCCAACTTTAAGAAATTCATCTTTGACAAACATATGTAGTACAGATGAAGAAAAACGAAATGAATTTTTGAAACTGTTCGTAGGTAAATTTCACTTTGATAATACCCGCGACACAAATGCATTACCATTCATTCCAAATAGAACAAACAACCCTTTGACTTGTAATTTAATCACACCATCGGAAATAAGAACCCTCATAGCTGACCTTGACACATCAAAAAGTGAGGGTTTGGATGGTATTACAAATAAAATGCTCACCATGAGCATTTTATCTATTGACAAACCATTAGCCTTATTGTTTAATAGAATTCTAACTGAAAACATTTTTCCAAGATCATGGAAAGATGGAATAATAATTCCAATCTATAAGAATAAAGGTGATAAATCTGATATTACAAATTACAGACCTGTCACATTACTTAGTAATATATCCAAATTATTCGAAAAAATAGTGCATCAACAGATGATGAAGTTCCTTTTAGATAATAAGTTATTATATGAAAATCAATCAGGTTTCCTGCCTGGTCACAGCACTGACAGTCAGCTACTAAGTATTACTAATTTTATAATGAATGCATTTGAAGACAAAGCGGATGTACGGGGAGTCTTTTTGGACCTGGAGTCTGCGTTTGATAAAGTCAGACATAATTTACTTATCCACAAGCTAAAATCTTATGGCTTCAATGATAACCTGTTGAAACTTATGAAATCCTACCTAGACAATAGAAGAGTATGCACACGCCTTAATGGATCTTTATCCGAATTTTCTGAAGAAAATTTTATAAACTCTGGTGTGCCTCAAGGCTCTATTCTAGGCCCCATCCTATTTCTGCTATTTATAAATGACCTCCCAGAGGTCATCCAATCAAAATGTTATATTTGACGATACTTCTACAGAGTGTCCCAAAAAAAAGGAAACCAGCAATAGATTGCTTATTCCTCAAATATGAATAATGATAGGAAAATTTCACAGCTATCATCTGATAGATTATGATGTCCTCTTTCTTATGATACCAAAGTTGTCTATTTTCCTTCACGGATGACTGAGTTATAAGGGATTCAAGTGACCATGTCAGAAATGAGTTTGTACCACTTTCAGCCAAGTCAATTTCACCATCATAACAAAGTGATAAGTAACAACAAACATCAGGATATCACTCTTTTACTCATTTATTCCATTTATTATTATTTTAAAATTACACATATCATATTTAACACCCCTTTTAAATCCCAATGTCCATTCAAAGTTGTTTAAACCCCAGTGTCCTTCAACATGACCCCCATTCCTTTCAATGCAAATGTCTGCCCTTGATCTCATCGCACGAACTGCATCCCTGATGATGTCTCTCTGTCCCCTTAGATCCTCCACTGCTGCGACAATCCTGCCCCTTAGATCAATGTCTCTTGGTGTTGTTGGGAAGACTTTACCCTTGAGATAACCCCAAAGGAAGAAGTCGCAGGGTGTCAGGTCTGGGGATCACGGCGGCCACTCAATCCCGTGGTTCAAGGCAATCACTCTTCTGAAGGCTCCCACTTCTGAGCCACTCACTTACTACGAATACTCTTTGATCTTGGGTCAGCTGCATGAACTTGCTATGTTGAATGCTTGTTCAGAAATGTGTATTTTGAATAGGACATGGTCTTGCATAGCCATTTTAATCCCTCATTGTTCAGCCATTCATGACAGAAAAAGTGGCACAAACCAATTTCTGATATGGTCACTTAAATCTCTTAGAACTCAGTCATCCATGAAGAAAAATAGACAACGTTGGTATCATAAGAAAAAGGACATCATAACCTATCAGATGGTAGCTGTGACATTTTCCTATTATTATTCATATTTGAGAAATAAGCAATCCATTGCCGGTTTCCTTTTTTTGGGACACACTGTATATATGTCCCCATTCACAAGTTTGAAAATGTTTTAACATCAAATACATTATTACAACATGATCTAGACAATGTCTATGACTGGTCAAGGGTTTGGGGGCTTTACTTTAAGCCCACGAAAACCAAAGAGATAATTTTTTCCAAATCTATTCAAAATGTAAGAAACTTTCCTATTTTGACCTTGAGCAACAGAATAATTGAAAGAGTAAATTATCATAAACATCTTGGAGTTATCTTAGATAACCACCTTGACTTCAAAGAACATATAGCCCAGCTAAAAGTCAAAATTGATAAAATGCTAAATCCACTTACAGCATTGAAAAATAAAATTTCATCCAAACACCTTGAAAGAATGTACTTATCGTTCATTTTGCCAAAATTAGAATTCGGATCAATCTTTTATAATTGTTCACCACATTATGCCCTAAATACCTTGGATAGGTTACACTACAGAGCTGCCTTGTTAGTCTCTGGGGCCATTAAGGGCTCCTCTGAAATCAAAGTCTTAAATTCACTTAACTGGAAGACACTAAGTCAGAGAAGAGAAGAAAAAATGGCAACTCTAATGTATAAGGTATCCAAAAACAGGACTCCTAGTTACGTACAATCTATATACAATGAACTTAAAAATCCAGGTACAGAGCGTGTACTTCGTGCCCAGCACGAATATAATATTCCAGCAAAATCTTCAATGAAATTTACAAACTCTCCTGCCATAGCACCAATAAGAATATGGAAAATGATTTCACCTGAAGTTAAACGCAGCCCCTCAATATCAGCCTTCAAGTCAAGGTATAAGAAAACCAAATATAACCAAAACCCTAGGTCTGTGTTGACAACAAAATTGAACTTAAATCGATCTATTGAAATTAAACTAAACCGTTTAAGAGCAGACCTAGCACTTAAATCAGACTTTTTTAGGCATAATTTCAACAACTTTCCAGACCCAAGTTGCCCTTGTGGACATGCCCAGCAAACCAAGTCCCATTTATTACTTTACTGCCCTCTATCAACTGGAACAAGGTCAATCTTTACCCAAAAACTACAAGAGCTGCAAAATTTTAACTTTAGAGAATTTGCCAGTCTAAATAGTGTAGATAAAGTCCACACCATACTTTTTGGAGATCATAAGTTCTCAGATAAATGTAATGCTGATATTATGAACCTTACGGCAAATTTTGTTGATTCTATCATTTAGCATTAGCCTCAACATTTCATCACCATCATCATCACTATTGTTATCATCATCTCAACTGTGGCCACTGAGACTCTTATAACAATACATTTACAATACATGTCTGAAACCATTTATATCAACTTTATTTTGCTACTTTTATTTAATAGGGAGGCCAACAATGTAATTTTACCTCGGCCTTCCTAGTATGTTAAATATTGTTATATAAAATTATGCAAAGAAATAAAACTTAACCTTAAAAAAAAAAAAAAAATTCAGTAGGGATATAGTGAAGCCCATATCTCAGACTTCTCTTTCACAAATAACTCTATTACTAGCACACCAATTTTCTTCTAATTTCTGATATTGGCTGCCTCCACAAAAATGGCAGGAATTTATCACGAAAATCTCAAGTTAAACCAAAGTATTATTGTATGGCAGTACTGAATCATGGTAAAAAATGATCTATTCTCTTTTTTATTAACATATACATCTGAGTTTTTGCGACATATTTGAGTCATCATTTTTCTTGTATATAACCAATCTATTCAATTTATTCTAATAGCAAATCATACAACACAGGTGCTTTATGTTACGGATGGATGTCTGTTTAAGTTAATTTGCTGTTCACAAATGTAAAGATCGATGAACCCAGAGAGTCGACGACTACAAATATGCATTTTAGCATTATAACTGAATAATAGGAGATTAAAAGAACTAGAAAAAGCTTTATCATACAGTAATTATTAGATATCACATTGTGTTGTAAAACTGATAATTACCTTTTCAATGAAAGTCTATGGTATTTTTAACTGTTTCAATGAATATCTATATTTGATTATCTGAAATACTTCATAGCATACAAAATGCAAGAAAAAGAATTTAAGGAATATTGGCAAACTCACATATTGTCATAGCCTGCTCAATAGATTCAATTTAACATCATGTTGAACAATTCTTATTTTGCCTATCTCATATACCTGGAATATTTTACATTAGATATAAACGTTACTTATTTTTTATATCATGTATCTTTATTACACATTATTTATATAAATTGCTAACAATTTTCATAACTACATGAAATATGTATCATAAGAGAGACAATAATGATCGATACAAATACATCTGTACAATTACGTTTTCACTAATGGGGTATGTTGCTTCGACTAGTACAAACAATATACATTAACAATGCAAAACATAGAAAAATCACCCTAGATTATTTGTGTTCTCCATCTGCTAATTAAGTCATAATGCCCTTCATCAACTCACGATTAAAAATCTCTATCGTCTAGGTTCAGATCATATCAAAATGAAACGCGACCAAAGATTTTTGCACCAACACTTAACTGTTTAGCCACTACTAGAAACATTGAGACAATCACTGCTCAACATGGCAAACGGATAAGAAAAGTTTGCAGAAGGTTTGCTTGGCGTACTGCAAAGAAAACCGATAAATATTCAAAGAGTTTTAAACAAACTAGTTTTCCATAGCAACACTTCACAAAAGGTTTCATTTTTATGTCACCACCAAAAAGTGGTGACCTATTGTTATTAAGATTTTAGTTTAATTCATTGTTTCTCACACTACCTGCAACATGTACATGATTCGTTGATGTTTCGTCTGCCATCGGCTGACTTTTTCAGTTACCTATTAAGTCTTACAATCACGTACGCTCGTATGTCTTGCAGGTAGTGTCTGAAACTATAATTATATCCCTACCAAATAAACTCACGGTATTTACAAATTCATTTTTAAGAAACATGAATCAATAGTTTATGTGAAAAAAAAACAGTTTCTTAAAAATGATCAACTTTACAGTTCACGAAGGGCAGTTTATATTTAATTATTTAAGGTTATTCCATCACATTGATTTCTGAGGGATTTAAACTATTATGATGATGTGTTTCAGGATGATGACATGGAGGCTGACCAGAATGAGGTTGATGATGCACCAGAGATGTCAGTTGTTCTTCATGAAGATAAGAAGTATTACCCTACTGCAGAGGAAGTCTATGGTCCTGATGTTGAGGTATGTACTAGCAATGTCTTATTAGTGTATAGACATTTTGCGCGTATTTACCACTTGTACACACATTGTCATTTCCAACTGTTAAAGTCTATAACAAACTGATAAGTTTTCTTAAATGTACAAACAAGTTTTTTAGAGTATCTGACGATAGGCAAATTGAATGAAAACATCGCGAAAGTTGGAAATTGTGATTTTAACATGAAAATGGCCTCGAAAATCCTCAAAATCACAAGTGATTATGGCAGCAACAACTGGAGATAATTGCCCGATGGTAATAAAACCCCTGATATACATGTTAGGATGTGCATTAGTTTGAATACAATTGGTAACGTATTATGTTACTTTGATAGGTTGAAAATGTATTATGCTTTTTATCGCACTTTAAAACAGTGCTATTCATATATTATCATTGTCTTGTGCTGGGCATGCACGTGTGCGTCTGGGCAGGTCCCACAAAATCTTTTTTTATTTATACTGAGATTGAATGGAGAAGATCATGATGTATTTTCTTTTTCCACGATCACTTGTTGTCCATCTATGACATTTGGGAATTCATAATCCTTATCTGCTGGAACATATACAACTTGTGGGGTGCTTGGTTTACAACACATACATAGGACTTTACTAGTTAACACCACAATGGCTAATGACACTAGTAATGTAACTGTGGATATCCCAAGCATTAAGCCATACACCACATAGTTATTGTTGTTCCCATATGTCTGGATCACATGAAACGCCCAACTGTTATCATCCATAAGTTTACGATTATAGTGGAAATTACAATATATTCTATCTTTACTAAGTTTTCCAGGGTATGTGCATTTGTACGGATATACATACTCCGCATAATGTTTATCAATCATTTTATACGCATAACTTTTCGTTAAATCTACATTTGTAATCTGATGGATGTTACAGTAGACGCCATCAACTATTCTCCCTGGGTGATTACAGTCATAATTGTATATGTAAATACCAGGTGTAACATCTTCCTTTGATTTCTCGTAAGCAATTCCATTAGCATTCAGTCCAATCAATACACAGCATGCCAATGTCAAGAGCAATGTGAATCCCAACCAGATTTTGATATACTTTAGAGATTGAATGTATGATTTTGTAGCAATTAGTCCAATGCCTCCTGTGATCAACATTAGTGCAGCAACAAGGAAGCTTGGTAGTCCGTTGTAGAAATACACAAGATCATGTGTACTATATTGAAGAACTGCTTTTAGGCTAAGAATTGTAATCACAGCTCCTGATAGTATTTGACCAATAGATAGGAATCGGGCTGGTATATTTGACCACTGGATGGTCGTTGGGGCAGCTAAGCTCCATACTACAGCCTCAGCTAGGGTGGCTGTGTTGATAGACCTCTTGCCTTGCTTGTCTTCAAGATCACCTTCAGCATCTTGATCATTGGTAGCATTCTCTGCATCATCTTCAGTTATAATAATGTCTGGGTGTTTTACATCTTCATTGACTGTTGCGTGGTTATTCATCCTATCTATGCCTTCTTCCTTATAGTCATCACTCATTCTTGATGTTGTAGGTTCATCCATAATGGATGTTCTTGTTCTTTATAAAAATGTTGTTTTACCTTCAGTTTCTATCTCATTGCTCTGTAATCTCCAGTGGATTCTATAGCTATGATGAGATTGTCCTATCAGCCTGTATCTGTCACTCCTATCTGAAATAGAAAATATGAATTATAAACAGAATATTATTTACTTTGATCAAAAGACTTCATTGTTACTTATAATGTATAATTGATGATGTTTTATTTTCTTGTAATGAACAGTTAATGAATTACATGTATCCGTATGTCATTACACTAGATCAATACCTGTTCATTTATATCTAACCACTACATAGTCGAGCAGATTGGTTTATGAAATAACAACAACCAGTAATAGATGCCTTGTTTGAATTCCTCCTTTTTCTCTCATATGATCAATAAATTGGATTTTCTTATGTGTATATTTCAAGGTTCCATCATTATCACATGTTACCTTACCCTTCCTTATCAAATCCTACCTTATCATACCTTAGCCTATATTATTATGTCACCACCAAACCAAAAGTGGTGACATATTGTTATGGTCTCCGTTTTTTTTTATGTCACCACCAAACCAAAAGTGGTGACATATTGTTATGGTCTCCGTTTTTTTTGCGACGGCGGTTGGCATCCGGCGTCCGGCGTCTGTAACAATTTCTTACAACTTCCTATAACTTAACAAATACTGTTTAGACTGACTTCAATTTTTTTCTAAATCATCTACATGTTCTCAGAAGTTCAAATCTGACTTTAGATTTGACATTTGACCTTCAATGACCTTCTCAAGGTCAATTAGGTCTTTTTTCAACTTGCTTCACATTGACTAAATTTTTTTTCAAAATAATCTACATGTTCTCAGAAATTCAAATCTGACTTTAGATTTGACATTTGACCTTCAATGACCTTCTCAATGTCAAAAAAGGTCAAAATGGTATTTTTTCATCTTGCTTCAAATTGACTAAATTTTTTATTCAAAATCATCTACATGTTCTCAGAAATTCAAATATGACTTTAGATTTGACTTTAGATTTGACATTTGACCTTCAGTGACCTTCTCAAGGTCAAAAAAGGTCAAAAAGGTCTTTTTTCAACTTGCTTCAAATTGACTAATTTTTTTTTTCAAAATCATCTACATGTTCTCAGAAATCCAAATCTGAATTTAGATTTGACATTTGACCTTTAATGACCTTCTCAAGGTCAAAAAAGGTAAAAAAGGTCTGTTTTCAACTTGCTTCAAATTGACCAAATTTTTTTTTCAAAATCATCTACATCTTTTCAGAAGTTCAAATTTGACTTAACAAGTTCTCAGAAGTTCAAATCTGACTTTAAATTTGACCTTTGACCTTCAATGACCTTCTCAAGGTCAAAAAGGTCTTTTTTCAACTTGCTTCAAATTGACTAATTTTTTTTTCAAAATCATCTACATGTTCTCAGAAGTTCAAATCTGACTTTAGATTTGACATTTGACCTTCAATGACCTTGAAAAGGTCAAAAAGGTCTTTTTTCAACTTGCTTCAAATTTACTTTATTTTTTTTTCAAAATCATCTACATGTTCTCAGAAGTTCAAATCTGACTTTACATTTGACCTTCAATGACCTTCTCAATGTCAAAAAAAGTCAAAGAGGTATTTTTTCAACTTGCTTCAAATTGACGAATTTTTTTTTTAAAATCATCTACATGTTCTAAGAAGTTCAAATCAAACCTTCTTAAGGTCAAAAGGTATTTTCCAACTTGCTTTAAATTGACCAAATTGTTTTAGGTGGTGACATTTTGTCATGTTAATGCCTTGTCAAACCTTATCATATCTTATCTTACCCTACATTATCATACCAAACCTTATCATATCTTAACATACTTTACCTTATCATAGCTATTATACCTTACCCTAGCCTATCATACCTTACCTTATTCTACCTATTTTACCTTACCTACATTATAATACCTTACTTATCATACCTTACCTTACTCCTACCTTATCTTACCTACATTATAATATCTTACCTTATCATACTTTACCTTATCATAACTATCATACCTTACCTTATCATACATACCTTACCGTATCCTAACTATCATACCTTACCTTACCCTACCTTATCATACCTTATTCCACATACCATACCTTACCTACAGTATCATACCTTACCTTATTCTACATATCTTACCTTACCCTACCTTATCATACCTTACCTTATTCTACATATCTTACCTTACCCTACCTTATCATACCTTATTCTACATATACCTTACCTTACCTACATTATCATACCTTACCTTATTCTAACTATCATACCTTACCTAACCGACATTATCGTACCTTACCTTATTCTAACTATCATACCTTACCTTACCCTTCCTTATCATACCTTATTCTACATACCTTACCTTACCTTCAGTATCATACCTTACCTTACTTACCTTATTCTACATATCTTACCTTACCTACATTATCATACCTTACCTTATTCTAACCATCATACCTTTCCTTACCCCAACCTTATCTTGCCTACATAATATACCTTACCTTATCATACCTTACCTAACCCCTACCTTATCTTACCTGCATTATCATACCTTACCTTATCATACTTCACCTTATCATTACTATCATACATTACTTTATCATACCTTATTCTACACATCTTACCTTACATACCTTACCATACCTTTTCTTACTCCTACCTTATCTTGCCTACATAATATACCTTACCTTATCATACCTTACCTTACCCCTACCTTATCTTACCTGCATTATCATACCTTACCTTATCATACTTTACCTTGCCATGCCTATCATGCCATGCCTTTTATTTCCTTTCCAATATATCAAATATCACCTTTATTCTTCATCTAAAATTTGGCTTATATGGCCATGGCATGATAATACTAATGATAAATAATGACTATAAAGTGATTTAACGAAATGATTTTTCTTTTATCGTGGGATGCGTATCGCAGCACTTTTTATATTCCTAGTGTCTTAAAAAGTAATTTACTGAGTATTGTAATACCCTTGCTCTATTAATTAATACACAGCCAGGATACTTTCATGATATTAACGGTCCGCGCTTTACTGAACAATAATCATTTTACCCTTGAAGTGTCTTTATGTCACCAATATTGAGGGAACAAGTAGAATTCCATGTAGATTCTTTTATCTCCTAGGCACTATATTACATTAACTGCTATTGCAAAGTATCTATTCTTTAGCTCGGTAATATGTAACTTTGTGCCAGTCTAAACAATTCCACTCTAATCAATCTTGTTTTAAGTGATTGGAGATACGATATCTGAATTTCTTTTATTTGTATATTTGGCATGCTGGTGTTCAGTTTTCATGTTTTGTTTCTTCTAGTCAGGAATATTTAGGTGAAAATATTTCAAAAATATATAGAAGCAATTTTAAGGTGGATTTCAAAACTTCATACCATCCTTTTGAAAACCTGAAGTGGCACCAAGCAATCCATTGACCTTTTCACCGAAAATCCAAGATGGCCGCCGCGATGTGTCAAAAAACCATAAAAAATGACTAAAGTTATGATTTAATAAGTAATAATAGTTGTATACTGATCAAACATGGCTAATAATAGTACCTATCAGAAGTTAATATCCATTTAAAGTCATTGGATCAATTTTTGTGTGAAAACTGGAGTCCCACAAGGCTCAACTTTATGTCCGCTACTTTTTTTGCATTTTTTGCATTGACCATGGCATTTGCACATAACAATGCATAGAAATCCATTCTGTAACATGTGCACCTAGGACCACATTTCACCTTGCACCCACACTTGACCAATGCTTCGCATTCTGCTTGAGGAAGGGCTGTATATAGTGGCACCAGGAGGAACATGTCATACTGCCAGCCCCATGTTTTGAACTCCGATACCCATGTTGGATTGAGATTGTACAGTTGGCCCCAAACAATACCACATTGGTTAGCAAGTTCTTAAAATTTTCTGTGCAAGGGCTCCTTTTGTTGGTGGCATTCTATCAATGACTGTATGGCCATCACAGAACATTTGACTTCGTGCTGCATCAATATCTATCTGGTTGCTGGTTTGATCATATACTAGAACAGTAAAACGTTTAAGGGACTGAATGGCATGAACTGACAAAGTCAGGTTTGTTGTAACCATTTGTGCTACTTGTAGAAAAGCTGGAGTAACTTCCTTGAACACATTCCATAGCTTGAAGGGCAGATTCTTTGCTATGGCCAAAGAATGGTGCAGTTATATAATATAATTTAATACCTGTAATTTTTGAGAGGTCAGAAGGCAATCCAGATTGACACTTATTGCACCCTAATGGTGCAGCCATGGCAAGAACTTCACCAGTATCTCCAATGATTCTGATTATGAAGTCTTTTTTACCCTCTGAGGTCATCTGTTTTACCTGAACAAAGAGTCTAGTGTAGTATCAGCTTCTTCATGAGTACAAGGTTCAATCATTACTGTAACTGGCAACTGAGGAAAGCACTTCAACAGATTCCACAATAGTCATAAACATCAACCTCAAAAATAGAGTTGGCCAGGAATGCTAACAGCTCAGTCTTGTTCTGGTTGTTTCTTAGAAAGCCTAACCAATTCTGGGGCATCACATTTTCTGCATAAACCATCCATTGCCACAATGAACCCTTGTCAGGGACTTCCTACTGTTTTATAGGTAGACATCCCAGATAACATCTTATCTTGAAAAACCTTCCAAAGGCCGCCTTGACTAAGAATGAGACATTGGTACCATATTCTTGGAAGTTGGTAGCCACACCAGGATGCATCACATGGACCAGAAGGATGCCATATTAAAATTGCATCTGCAGGTGGCTTTTCCAATACTTTAGATCCATCTGGCTTAGCTTCTTGACATTTAAGTAAGTCTGCTTTTGTTGTAGGTCTCATGGCTCCGTGGTTATATAGGGATGGCGGGAACTCATGGTTTTCATATTTGAAAAACTCAAGACATGTCATTGTGTCTTGATTGGCATGCAATGTAGAGTAATAGCAAAAAGGGCATAATAATTTCTCAGTTCCTTGACTTCAGGATTCACTTGCAAATGATTCCTGAGGTCAAGGAACTGAGAGAAGAAAATTACCTTTTTTGCTATGCTCTATATTGCTTGCCTTTGACAATCAAGACACATAACATGTCTGAGTTTTTCAAACATGAAAACCATGAGTTCCAACCATCCCTTGCTAAGCATGGAGCCATGAGACCT